GGTTATGACATTATTTGACCATATGAGTTATATTTAGGGTAGTTGTGTCATTTTTATGGGGTTTTTTTGTGCAACACTTGCCACAAAATGTCTTTCGAATCCATCACCCCAACATGCATCGGTTGACAGAATCCCTTCGCTGCTCTCCGCCATGTTTAAAAGGTCAAAGTTGACCTCGTCTCTGCAACTCAAATGTCATAGAATTCTCCCAGTTTTCCAGTGGAAATTCCGACATTAATGGGCGTTCATGTGCAAATTTCATGTCAGCGTTTGGCATTTACCATAATTAGGAGATCACATGAGGGCACCATTAGCTGTTAACTTTAATTAAGATTTATTTAATTGAACTTCATTGATTTCACATTGGAGAAATTTACCTCTTCATTTAACTCGTCCCCTTGGGGAGCAGTGGGCTGCCATTGTGCGGCACCCAGGGAGCAGTGTGAGGTTAAGGGCCTTTGCTAATAGATCTAGAGTGGCAGTCTGTGGGAGTGGGGCTGGAACTCAGAATTTCAGGACTCCAAGCTCTATGCCCTAAGCTCTAGGCCACCACTTTCCTTTATCATGGAAGCACACACTCTTACAGCTTTTCTGTTTTATCATTTACAAATTTACTGAAAGATCTAATAAAACTAGTTCATTTTTTTCATAGGTGTTTGGTTGATTTTATTTTAAGGTTCTTAGCTGCTTCTCCAGCCAGCAGGCAGATTGGCCTGCTAGTTAATTTGATAGCTAGTGTTAATGGGAACATGATAGTCTTTTTTTAGACAAGTTTTGAATCCATTTTCTTAAAGTCAACTTCAATTCTATGTGGCTGGAGCTGGGAGAAGCTGTGCACCTCGTTTTAGATAAACCGTGGCCTCCTTAGCTTTGCTTTTATGTGTCGCCCTTTGTAAAAATAAAACATGCTACTTTCTAAACTGCAGATGAAACAAAAGTAGTGGGATAAATAACTTAGCAGTGCTCTATTTTCCTCCTTTATCTTGCCATTCTTGTTCACTCTGTGTGTGTGATGCCACTGTACCCTATGTTTGCTTGTTCTTGAGTTTGTGGTGCGCGCTGTTGTTATTCAAATAAGCAGAGACGGCTGTACGTAGACCAGACTTTGAACTTTGGTAAAGATTTATAACATTAAAGCATATCTGTAGAAATGTCACTGATCCGGTCTCAGACAAGTAAATCAAAGTAAGTTTTTACTTAACCTTTTTTGTTTTTATTTCAGATCAATTGACAGCTCATCAACACCATATCTGCTGTGGCAGCTGACACACCTTATACAAAGATTTAGAATAGAATAGAATAGAATAGAATAGAATAGAATAGAATAGAATAGAAAATCCTTTTTTAATCCCACAATGGGGAAATTGTTACAGCAAAAGTGGTTTCACAAATGTGGATAAAAAAATAACAGAATACGTGACAGAGTTTAAAAATAAACTAAATACTGTACTGTACAGTATTTTTGAAAAATAGAAATACTGTGCATTCATCTGAAGATTAAATAACCAATATACATATATTTCTTAAAGGTAATAAATAGATTTTGCCCATCCACAGCATTTCAAGTCAGCATTTCTGCTTATAGTTATAATTTGGGATATCATGGCATTTCTTTCTATTCATCTCCGTTGTTAGATGTGCTGCATAGTATATATAGAGAATATATATAAAAATACATGGGACACATGCTAAGTACCTCCATGAGGCCAGGGCACCCAGACCTCACCTCTATGTTCTGACACCAGAAAATGATCAGAATGCATCTTAAGCCTCTTTCACCTCTGCTGGTTGTATAAATACGCCAGAAGACGTTACATTGAGAAGCATGGACTGGAACTGGAAGAAGGCCACTGAACACGTTTGATCAAAACGGGTCAGAGAGGAGAGTTTCCAACCTGTCCTGCTGTCTGTTCATCAATGTTTGCTTCAAGGTAAGTTTTTTTTTTTTTTTTATCTTACACATTAAAACCTAAAGCAGTGTGAACATTAGTGGGAATTCCTGCAGTCTATGAAATGTCAGGAGAGTCTGAGCTGCTAATGTTTTTTCAACAGCTTCAAGTATAGCTTGTAATCACCAGTTTGACACTTGGCCTGTTGCTCCTCTCAGTTGTTATATACTGTTGTGAATTGTTCTAAAGACACTTATTTCGATTGTTCCTTGATTAACTCGACTGCTTCCCTTTTGTGACAATAATCATAATAATAATTGACATTTTTTGATCTCACATTGAAGAAATTTACCTCTGCATTAAACCCATCCCCTTGCAGAGCAGTGGGCTGCCATCATGGGGTGCCTGGGGAGTAATCAGGGTTCAAGGATCTTTGCTCAGAGACCCAGAGTGGCAGGCTGTGGTAGTGGGGCTCAAATTCTAAACCTCAGGATTCCAAGCTCTATGCCCTAACCATTAGGCTGCCATTCTCCTTAATGTGCAGAGGTATTAAGTATTAATACATTTCAAGGTGATGCCTTGTAGAGATTCCTGTATTTTGTTATAGATTATTGCAATTTATTTTCCTAATGACTGTACTGTAATATGTTAGAGTTAACTAATTTACTGGAGTTTACCAAGTCTTTAAAAATATAACAAAACAAATATATCTAGCTGGTTAAAATAAAAATAAAATCACAATTTGTGGTTAATTTCACCCAGCATTTGGGTAGAGGCTACTAACAAATATTTGAGGTTGAATTTGTCAAAATTTTCACATATTTTAATCCATATCTTCGGTGGAATATTATAATCCATTTGTTGGGTTATTAAGGATCGATCCATTTTGCTGGGTTGGAGCAATAATTACCCAGCAGCTTGGCTGGAAATAATCCAGTTTGGGTTTTTTTCTGATCCACTTGTTTTTAGTGTGTAAATTGAAAATAATTTACACACATAAGCTGCTTTAATAACGTCACATTATTATGTTTCCTTTTTTTCATGGTTTCTTGGTTATGGATACATATAAACTACTGAACCTTTTACAAGAAATTATTTTGCGTATCGTCTTTGCTTGAGGCATTTAAAACACATCTGGGTCTGATGTTGGAAACTTTAGATGCAAAGCCGAAGCAGGAATTTTTAGCCTGCTTAATCGCATCATTGCACTTCAACCCACCACTCAAATAAAAAAAAAAGTCAGTTGTTAATGCAATCTGTGGCCACTAAGGTCTAAATCCTTAGCAATCTCTAAACAAATCAGTTTCATTAATCTTTTTTCGCATTTTAACTGATTTAATTGCTGTGTAGCAACTGAATAATTTTGAGTAAATTCAATTTGCATCTGTTTTGTCTGTTTCGTCACCCTGAATAAGAGCCATCCATAACTTCCCCAACTGACTCATGCATTGTGCAATCAATCATTGAAATAAATACTGTTTTTGTTCCCAATGAATTGTTGCAGTTCCTGACAATCAGAATCAAAATCGCTGGCAGTTCAAAGACCACAGCTGAACCCTTTACTCTGCTCGCTGTCGGTGCACTGGTCTTGCACTCTGATACAGGCAGATATGATTGGTCAGGGTTAACAAACTGTCATAAAGGCTGCATTGTCCAGCTGAAGAGTTAAGAACCTGATACCTTTCTTCTTATTATGTGGACTGAAAGAGGAGTAACACAGCAAAAGGGGGGCAAAGGTTTAGCTGTGATAGTAACTGCCTGAAAGAAAGCAGTTCAATAACATGCATGGTTTTATAAAAGAAAAAGACAAAAAAAAAAGAAAATGGAACAGTTAGTGTCATGCCACCTAAACCACAACACAATGTAAATTTCATTATAGAAAAAAACTCAAATTTAATACCAACTTTCCAAAAATGAGCATCCACCATCTTTTACAACATGCAAAAGCCTCACCTGAACACATTTACATGATGAAAGATTTCACATTTTGTGTTAATGCCATAAAATCTGCCATGTTTTATTAGGTTTTATATGATAGCAAAAAAACAAACAGACCAGAAAGCAGCGAGTAGATGTAAGGTGGAAGGAAAATTATAAATGGCTGACAAATTGACAGCTTTTTTCACCTTTTAAAACCTGACAAGGTGTATATTTTTTGTATATTTTTTTGTAAGAAGAGAATAAAAGGAGAGAAGCAGCTGAGAGGGGTCAGCAAACATGAGCAAGAAGGAGCCCCGTGTCCAAATCTCTCCAAAAACACAACGGTTGGCAGTAAAAAAGGGAGATGCCTAACTCTGCAGGGAGCTGGAATGATATGAAATGGTTTAAATAAAAGCTAATTAGTGAAAAATAAACAGCTGTTTTCTGGTGCGCTCCATTCAGTCTAACTTAATTGGAGATATTTCAGTTTATGCAGAGCTGATAGAGATGTCCTTAAATCATTAAATCAGCATGTAGGTATAAATACAGCTAAAGGTGGTCCTATGGGTCAATAAAAACACATGAAAGGCTTTCCCTATTTTTAAAAAAAGCCATGATTGTTCACAGAGATACATTACTTTCTGCTGGTTTGTCACCATCAATCTTAATGAAATACACAAGTCAGGTAGAGAGATAGAAGATAAAGGTATTTACTTTTGCAATGCACTAAATCATAACGGTGCAGATGGTTGATTGCATGTGCATAATCTATCACTGTTTCCCTGCAGCTCTGATTCCCACCCTTACTGGTTCCCATTGTCCTCTGCACCTGCTGCTGGAATCCCAAACATTCCCATCAGGCCTGATAAAGACTTAGTGATGACATTAAACTAAAATCCTTTCTCAGGCATGAGCCAAGAGCATATCAGAAATAAAGGAACACATGAAGATTTTTTTTTATATAGTCGCTCTAATTAAATTGTTTAAAATCAAAACATTGGGATGAGAGAAGTTTTACTTTAGATGCACTTTTTGCTTTACCTAAATGAGAGATGGCACGTTTTTGTTGTGGATCTAAGGTGTGGGAGCCTGTGCGCCTTGTTTTTCTGCATTGAGCCCGTCTTGTAGCATTTCAAAAGACACACGGACACGCCTTGGAGATCTAAAATTGGCCTTGGTCACTTGTCTTACCTGACATGCGGCAGATATCCAAAAAGTCAGCCGGAAATCAACAGATGTTCCAGTAGTTTTCAGTTTTTTTTACAGAAAAAAACCCAAAACAAGAAAAAAACAAAAAAAAAAACAAAGCCAGACAAAATACTTTCGTGCGTAAGAGAAAAGAAAGTTTTACGCTCAGGTTGTCTCCATGTATCCGAGCTCAGGAGCGGGTGTTAGAATAAAGCTGGGGCCCCTGAGCCGCAGCTTGAGGTGGAGACAGACTGAAATAGTGAAAATGACGCTCGGAGAAGCAGCAGAGAGCGGAGGTGGGCGGTGAGCTCACATGGAAATAAGCTGTTTTGCTGCTGCGCAAAGAAAGGCAGCTCAGATCAGATAGGGACAAACTGGCCAATGACAGCTCACCTCCACCTTTACTGTTAACTAACTTTAATTATACTCGTTTTCTTAACATTTTGACCAAAAGTGAACTCTGTGTTCACTCCCTCAGCTGCGCCATGTCAATAAGACTTCACCATTTCCATCATGCTGCTTTGGGTTACCTGTTCTGAGAGAATAACAGTTCCAACCAACCACAGTATCACAAAAAAAAAAAAAAAGAACCATGATCCAATTATAGCTCTTAGACTGAGAGAGAGAGAAAAAAAGCCAAGTGTTATTTTTAAATGGATGATCTGAATCACTTTCTAAATCGTGACTAAGTCTCCTTTTCACTATCACTAAAACTTGTTTCAAGTGGCTGGTTTTGATCTGGTAAAGGTTTGGGTAAAAAAATCTTAAAAAAAAAAAAAGAAGGTCTTTTTCTAACCTTAGTGAGATTACTCAACAATCACACATGATTTTATTAATCATTAAGAGCAGTTTTTAAACTGAATTCACAGTATTTCTTCTACTTTGCCAAAAGATAATCCTGGGCCATGATTGTTTATATATATATATATATTAAATATTTTTAATTTTGAGGAAAACTGTACTACACCTTCAGTCCAGAAGGGGGCGGTAATAAGAGCACACAACATGGCTTTAAACAGTGGTGTAGTGATATGCAGGAGATGGCTGTATTACAATCTCTTTGATTTGCTTAAAACAACCTAATATAAGCAGAGACAAATATCAAGCCCCATGTTGTGTATTACATTCAGACCGAAGAGGATTAGGGCCACGGAAAAAAAAAAAAAAAACCTCTGATTTTTTTAATTTTATTTCAGTTTAATATGGGGAAAAAGTCAGAATTCTGACTTTAATCTCAGAATTCTGATTTTTTTTTTTTTCCAGATTTCTGATTTTTTCCCCCTCATAATTCTGACTTAATTTCAGAATTCTGACTTTATTCTTAGAAATCTGACTTTTTCTCATAATTCTGACTTTTTTTTCTCATAATTCTGACTTTTTTCTCAGAATCCTGACTTTTATGTCAGAATTCTGACTTTAATCTCAGAATTCTGACTTTTTTCTCAGAATTCTGACTTTTTTCTTAGAATTCGGACTATTTTCCCATATTAAACTGAAATAAAATTTAAAAATGTGTTAACTTTAAAACATTTTTTAGTGGCCCTAATCCTTTTTCCATACATTCATTATTTAGGGAGGGAGAGGTTATTTAGTCATGCCCTCTGGGTCTATCTTTTTGCAGATGATCAGTTTTCCTGTTGTCTTAGTTTATTTCAATTATCTGTGAATTACATCAAGCTAAGGAGTTGTGTCTCTGCAATCTGAATGCCTAGAATTCCCAGTATCTCTTTTTGTATCACGCACATGGACCTTTAATGAGGCAAGTTAGGCCTGAAGTGCTTCACATTGGTCTGAATTCTTTGGTGACCTCCTGGATGAGTTTTCAATGCAGTTGTGGACACTGATCTCTATTTATTCTCTGGATTGCTGATAGCCCATTGGTATTATGGGGTTGAAGTGAAGCCACCGGCCGCCATATTGGTACTCCCTAGTTAGACCGGTCACAATGTAAACAATATGTGCGCTACAGTATCAAACAACAATGATGTTCTCATTTTCAGGGGGCTTAAGATTTTAAAGTAAAGATAAATTCGTTACTTTTGACAAACACTTGGTGTTTCATTGCATAAGCAGATTACTTTAACTTATATTAAAAAAAAATAGGCACATCACATTACATAGTCATTATGAAGTCAATGGAGTCTTTAAATTATGTAACATAACATATTATACAAATTCATCACAAAAAAATGAATGCGTTAATGGAGCATAATAATACAGATGTGCCAAAATTGCAAAATTGATGATGTCCATGTAATAGACATGTATTGATTACATTTTTATGATAATTACATATTAAATATAATTTCAAGATTTTACATCAAGACTGAATTACAAGTATGTCTGTTAAAGCTGTTGTATTTTTCTATTTTCAAATTTTGCATGCATGATGCCCTATAATTGTATGCTGTCTCTGTGCATTAGCCTTTAAAAATGTTTGAGTTGCTTTTTTTTTCATCAATATAACATGCAATGCATTTCAGCATATGGCATGAAATACAACAAACACTACAAAAAAGACAGCCTCATCCACTTAAACTTTAAACAAATAATACATTGAGATTTCACAGTGAATTACTTTCTATTTACTCCACTTTCTATTATCTAACATTAGACACAATTTCGATGGCCAACTCAGTCAATGTCTTTGAGTCAGTCCAAGATAGTCATACTAATGTTTAGCTACGTACTATAGAATACATGTGTATATGTGGATTTTCTTGGTTAGTACATCTACTGAATGTAAAATTACCAGTGAAACCTTTTCCCAGAGCCGACAAACTACTTGTTTTTGCAGCCTAATATTACACATGTAGGCATTTTTACTGTGCATCTCTGTGGGACTGGGGACTACCAATGGCGGCCAGTGGTTTTACTTTTTTGGGGTATCAGCAATCCAGTGAATAAGTAGAGATCAGTGGTTGTGGAGCAGCTTTGGTAGGTTAGCCTCTCAAAGTTTCCAACTTTCCACCATGTACTGTCGTTTGTGGATAAAGGTCCTCACTTTGTTTTTCTTTCTACTCTTTGCATTTAGATGTAAATTGTAAAACAAAACAAACTTATGGGCTTTAAAGGGTTAGGACTACTTATAGATAGATATTAGTTTATTGTAAAAACAAAACAAAAAATTTCCAAACTTTTTTTGAGTAACTGACTCAAATGCGGGCTGCGCAGTGGGTACCACTGATGCCTTGCAGCAAGAAGGTCTTGGGTTCAATTCCCTTCCCTGGGGTCTTTCCGCATGGAGTTTGCATTTTCTCCCTGAGCATTCGTGGGTTCTTTCCAGGTACTCCAGCATTCCTCCTACTGTCCAAAAACATGACTGTTTGGTTAATTGTCTCCTCTAAATTCTCCATTGGTAGCTGCCAGACTGAATTTAAACCTCCTGCAGAGCTGTTGCTATAAAACCATGAACAAGAAAATAAAAATATCAAAGCACTCACATACATATCAATAAATGCACATGAAATACAAGCCTTAGGAAGGTACAGATATTTGTCATATATATATGGAAAATTGAGAGTTTTCTATTTGAACATCAGTATTCATCAAAAATACTCTTGGTACTGAACCATGGGGTATACGTCTTTGAATAAATTCAAATCAATTTATAACTGCAAGTAACATTTTAAATGCTATTACTTGCATTATTCACCAAATACCTAATAAATTATTCATAATACTTTCTGTCACCACAAAGAGATAGCAGGTATTGGGAAATCCCAGGAGTTAAGGGTGTGGTAACCGGGGAATCCAACGGTACCACCCAGTCATCTTAGCCAGCAGCTAGAAAGGCTTGTCAGCAGAGCTCTGATGCTCTGGAAACCCTCCAAGTACGCTCATAACCTTGATGAACTGTCTTTACAGATGCTGTTTTGAGGTCTACTTTTTGATTTGAAAAATATCTAAAACTACTTTTTGTGACTAGAATCTGTTGCATGACTAGAGTCTAAATTTTTTATACTAACCTCCTGCTGGTGGTGCAAAGCCTTCAGGTGACATAACCATTAACCACAACAGCAACTTATGCCTCCTCTTATAAGGTAAAGTTAGGAGCGGTGGTCTGACTGTGTCTGAAAGAATTGATTCTCAGTGATAAGGCCAATATTTTAACGCCCAGGATAAATGAGATATACTCCTGTGTGTAAGTTGTTATAGGAACCACATGCATCTTTTTATGTGTAATTAAAGGCTAGTTATTTTATATAACACATGTCATTGGCAAGACAATACTTAATACTGCACATGAACAAACATAATAGGAACACATACAAAGAAAAGTAAATTGTCTTAGTACGGAATAAATAAAACCAATGATAAAACTGAGTATTAGAGAAAAGACAAATGAATAATTAAAGTTGTTAGGTGATTCTGAAATTATTAAACAATCAAATTATTCTGTATGTAAGGCAAGTTTAGTTATATTAACATTTAATTCCCATTATAAACTGTGAACGCTAGTTTTAAATGTTTCTTCCTAGGGAGGAGCAGATTTCCTGGAACTCTGCTTCCCTCCCATTATCCACAAGTAATTACTCAGTAGACAATATTCACAGTAAAACTCTTACTTGCTCACTCTTGTCAACTTCCCATATAAGCGCATATACTGTAATTATTTTAAACTTATGCATGTCTAAATCAAAGAGGTGCTTTCCTGGCACACCTGGTAGGAGTGGTGGCCTGGTGGTAAAAAATGGGCTTTGGATCCCAGAAGTTCTGAATTGAAGCCTCACTCCCATGGACCCATGGACCTGGGGAATTAAGACCCTTAATTCCCCGGGCGCTGCAGTTAATTTCATCTCTTTGAACTTGTGACAATGTAATGACAATAAAGTTGAATTATATAAATCAAAAAATCTAATTCTAAACCTGTAGCCTTCTTACTAATCTTGCTTTAGGGAGGCAGATTGAGACTGTCTCATGGGTTGCCTTTTCGTTCCCAGGTGGAGAATCCTAATTCATCTTTCAAACTGTGTACAAACTGTATTTTTATACGCTTAAATTAAAAAATGTATCTCTTTAATTTTAAATATGTCTGAAAATGTTTAAGGTATGCTGGTTGAAGATTTCTCACCATCTCAAAAGGATCAACTGGCATAGTAGGAGTAAAAATAAGTAAATCAGTCAAATTGATTAAACTAAACAGCAGTTGTTGTTTTTTTTTACCCCTTTAACAAACGGCTCCTGCTATTCCTGCAATGAAACTGAATGAGTCATAAAATTTTCATGAAAAATTCTTCACATAATATTCTTAGGGTTACCTTATTTCAGTTTGAAAAACTGAGAAAGGGAGACTTGCTCCAGACATGAAAAACTCAATTAACTAAAGATGACTTTTGATTTTAACATATTTAAAATATTCTTTGAGGTAAGAAAGATCCGTATAAGCTTTCATATGTCAACAAATACAAAAATGATTAAAATTGCAGAATTTAATATCTGATAGAAACTAATGATTAAATCGACAATAATAGCTAATATTACATCATCTTAAAGAAAAAAAAAACTGAAATAATAGGTTGCAAAATTACAAACAGCCTTATTTTCTCAATAAAAATGTAGACAAACAATAAACAATGTGTTTGTAAGAAATCATGTTTGCATAAACAGAATCCACTTCAGTGACCCAACAGGAAGCTAGTGCCTCTCCTTGGTCCACTGGCTACAGATCGGGGGGGCTCTAAACATTTGCATTGTTTGAGAGAGGTGCAAAGATAAACTGTGCAATTGTCACTAATTCAGAGTAACATGTTAGGATTTGATGCCTCATTGTAATTGATTGGCTCTGGGTAATCCAAACCCCTTTCCTGATTATCTGTTTAAGTATTGTGTGCCCATGTAACCTAAAGGATCTATTGCACCTTTGACATACACAGAAACCCTGACAGCTTAAACATGGTGGACTCTAATTTGGACCACAGTTGGAGATGTCACACATAAGAAAAGTGGTGGTGTTCCCTTTGCATTGTCATTTTAAACTCAGAACCTAGAAAGTTACGCAGACACAGGAAAAGTTACAAACACAATGTAAGGGAGGTTGAAGAAAAGATTTTATTTCTGTACTCAACAAGTCTCCAACTAGATGCTATGTGCATACTTGTTTTGTAGGAAGGACTGCATAAAAATAGGTTTCTGGCCCTCCAACAGGAAAATGTGGATATTTCTAAATCCTTTGAGATTCACTGGAACTGCATGCTTTGATCAGAGCTTCCTTGTAACAAATCCTCCTGGAGGCATCGCAGCTCTTTAAATTCCAGTATTTTTTTTGGCTCAACCAGAAAACTGAAAATGCCCTAAAGGATCTTTCTGCAAGATAATGATCACAGAGGTGGTTCAGCAGAAACAAAAGGATTGTCTTCTGTGGTCATCTCAGTCCCCAGGCCAAAGTCCCACAGCAATCATGTCTCATCAGTGAAGACTCAGGCCTCCGACAAACTACAGAGGTTGTGCAAACTCCTCTGAATGCTCCTCCTTGTGTAATTTTACAGGAATGATCTATCCTGTTAAAGGAGGGAACTGGGCTATTATTGTTGAAACACTTCCTTTTTAAATAAACCTGGGATTTTTGTCCTCCAATGTAAGTGCACTCTCTGGTTGTATTTTGAATTTAATCGTTTTGTGAAATTACTCCAAGGAGCAATGTATTTGTATGCTTTTTATACATTTGAACAAGGATCACCAATCATTTTGGCTTGCACATTGTATAAAGCTTAAGGAACATTAATGTTGTGATTTGGAATCATAGAAAAGTAAAACAAAATGTGGAAGTAAATGAAGTGAATATCCCGTTGTGAAACTTTCACTTGCTGGAATCAGCATAAATTAAACAGTGCTGATTTTTTTTTTTTTTTCCTCCTCAAAATAACAAAGTTAAATATCAGAGAAAAACTAACCCTCGGATCGAAAGCGGAACAATTGTCATGTGACTCGAGTGCAGACCGGACCAGATTAGAGCTCGCGCTGTTTATCTTCCGCTGCGGTGCGGATGTAGCAGCTGACCGGCTGACTGCGATTAAAAATGTACTCTCACGCTTCAGAGAGTTTAATTAAACAAGCGAGGTAAGACAACGGGAAATATCTATTTCAATTTAAAGCATTTTGTTCCCGTTTCAGTTTTGTTAGAAAACTGAAACGTTCCTTACATGAACTCATGTCTTTCATGTTAAATTTGCAAAAGCTGAGATGATATTGCAAAGCAACAGGAAGTAACTGCTTCTTTTCCCCCTTTTACTTGAGAAAAAATCAGAAAGGTATACTGTATAATAAAGTGCATTAGCTTTTTATGGACTTTGCTGAAACACTGAAAAGTCTAATTGTGGTACTCTCTATAAATACATCTCACCAGATTATAATGGAATCGCATGTTAACTTAAATACAATAATAATTTTCATAAAACTTATATTAAGACACAAATAATTCTGATCTCCTAAAATAGGGAAGCGATTTTATGCCTGAAGGAGTCTTAAATCAGCCAGTTATGGACAGAATACTTGCAAATATTTGCAAAATCCCAAAGGTATCGTATTAGGTTGAGGTCAGAGCTCTGTGCAGGCCAGTCAAGTTCATCCAAACCAGACTCTGCCATCCATGACTTTATGTGCTCTGCTATAAAGTCATGTTGGAAGAGGAAGGGTTCAGCTCCAAACTGTTCCAACAAAGTTTGAAGTATGGACTTTTCCAAAATGTCTTGGTATGCTGAAGCATTCAGAGTTCCTGTCATTGAAACTAAAGGTTCAAGCCCAGCTCTAAACAAAAAAAAAAAAAAAAAAAAACATAACCCCCCTCCATCAAAAAGTTACACTTGGCAAAATGGAAATTTCCCAACTGGATTTGTTGCACCGGTGGCATCCTGTTACAGTTACATGCTGAAATTTACTGAGCTCCTGAGAGTCACCCATTTTTTCTCAAATGTTTGTAACTAGTCTGCATGCATAGGGCCTTATTTTAATTCATCTGGAAGAGCTGATTCCAATAATTTTGGTGGGTGAGCTAATTCTTTTGGAAATATAGTGTATATGATCAGGTATGGGACTAAAAAGGAGTGAAAAAGCACTCCATTGAAAGCCTAAAAGAATAGTGCCACTCCCTTTTAAGTCTTGTAAAACTTAAAGAAATTTGACACGATTTGAGACTTTTCACAACAACTTCAGGCAACTTAAAGAGAGGAACATTTTGTGCTTTAATGTTTCCAGGGAGATTCAGGAGTCTGAGCTGCTGAAGTTTTACAGCCGACTTGCGAAGCTGTTTCAGGTTAAGGAGCTCAGCCATGAGACGCTGGACTCCCTGCAGAGGCTGCACCTCATCCTGTCCGCTAATAAGTTCACCAGAAAGTAAGATAGTAGTGCTTTTTACATATATTTTTTATAGGCGTGTTGATAAATATGTTTTTGTTGAGCCGAAATGTTTATACATTTTATTAATAATCTGTTATTCAATTTGAAACCAAAAATGACTCACAAGGTTGTCTCTGCTGTGTTTATGCTGTATCATATGGTGAGTTTAAATGCAAATGACTAATCTATGGATGTAAACAGTGTTTATATGTCAGTTGCTCACGCTTGTTAAGAGGTAAACGCATTAGCAGGGCTGATCTAAATTATTCCATGCCAATGATTTGTCTTAATGAAATTGTTTACATCATCTCATTGCTGTGAGTCTAACCTCTTTGCTGAAAATCATCAAAAGTAATCTAAAACCTAACATCACGGAAAAAAAAAGGAATTATGTTTCAATTTTTTTCTCAAGGGTAGGAAAGTAAAATATTCTAAATAGAAAACTTTAAAATGGTTTTGCAAGTTTTGTTGGTTTTACAAAAAGGAATCTAGTTTGATAGTTTTTCTGAGATTAATTTAAAAAAGTAGGAAATGAGATGTGCGGTAAGAACAGGATATGGGTCGTTTTTTTTATGCTCCTTTTAATTAGAGGCACATTTGGGTTCATCCTAAATATACACTACCGTTCAAAAGTTTGGGGTCACATTGAAATGTCCTTATTTTTGAAGGAAAAGCACTGTACTTTTCAATGAAGATAACTTTAAACTAGTCTTAACTTTAAAGAAATAAACTCTATACATTGCTAATGTGCTAAATGACTATTCTAGCTGCAAATATCTGTTTTTTGGTGCAATATATACATAGGTGTGTAGAGGCCCATTTCTAGCAACTATCACTCCAGTGTTCTAATGGTACAATGTGTTTGCCCATTGGCTCAGAAGGCTACCGTAATTGATGATTTGTAGCTCCTTACAGAAGCTACAAAACTGCCCTTCCTTTGAGCAGATTGATTTTCTGGAGCATCACATTTGTGGGGGCAATTAAACGCGCAAAATGGGCAAAAAAAGAGAAT